ATGACACGGTGCTACACGAATTAGATATAAGAAAGTAGTCACCTTAATGATGTCACGGTGCTACAAAAATTTGATATGAGAAAATAGTCACTAGAAAGATACATGGTGCCCAACTTTTGCTAACATAATTATTGGCCGGACGGGCAGCATATATGAGTAATAGCCGCCCGCCGGCAGCGGAAGCTCTTTGAGTTTTTATCAATATCGTAAAGGCTCTGATACTATGTGAGAAATATAGGGAAAAAAATATTATTGAATTGTTGTTGTGTCTACATTATTACATTGAGACCCTATTTATAGACCCTATAATACAATTCTTTACCAAGTAGGATACTATTTAGTATTCCTATTCCTATTCTAATAGGATTGTATAACCTATTCCTATTCTAATAGGATTGTATAAACCTATTCCTATTTCAATAGGATTGTATTAATCTATTCCTATTCTAACATTTTTTTTCTAGGTTAACAGGGTCATGCTTAAGATCTAGTCTTTTTGCATTTTTGGGATTCCCTTTTCATTGTTTTCCTAGATATGGATGAGTTGTACTTCAGAAGTACTTCCAGTTGGTTTCATGTTCTGGTTTGTAGGTAGCCTCAGAACTGGATTTCTTTCCCTTTGTGCAAGTTTATACTGAAGGCCCAAAGGTTCAAAACTTCCCATATGATTTCTCTTCCCTGAAGGTATAAAAGAAGTTTCCTGCATATTTGGTTTTCTGAGCATACAACATGCAGTGTTGTGAAAGGCACACTTAAGCCCTAAAGTGAGGGACTAAACACATTGAGCACTTCACCTTGCCTTATAGGCACTTCAGTTTCATCATCAAGGCTCTAAAAGCATACTTTTCCCTGCCAAGGAGTGCAATCCTAAAGATGTGATACTGTACAATTGATATTTCACTTTATTATAATTTTTTTGCGATTTCTTTGTCCATATATTTATTACTCATGCTAGTGATTATTAATCTTGGACTAGTTTTTCTTCATTTGCACCTTTTCTCATTAAAACCCGTGTTGTATTTGCACTTTGCGCTTAAAGCCCCAAAGGACATTAGTCTTTTTGCACTTTCACTTTTGACAACACTGACTGTATGTCAGCAGTACTAATTAGCATCTAACTAGGTTTGCAATGAAAGTATAGCTACTTTGATAACATCCATCGTGTCTGATGAAGGCACATACTCCTTCTGTATCTCAAGTGCTTAGATCTGCTACTTTCCTGAAATAATGAGATTCAAATAGTTGGAATGGAGATATATGGTAAAAGAGAAAGCAAGTGCACTCGATATGTGAGATCATAAGATCTACACCTCACTGACCGAAATTTAGTATGTTACTCTGACAAAATATCAGATGTCAAGATTTAAGGAAGTACTTGGAGGATGGGCAATTTAGCCCTGATAATGATTTTGCATTTTGAAGAAATGACTTCTGTTGCCTTGCAAATTTGAACTTAGTGAGTCAAGAAGGATATTTTTTTTCCTGAATTTTTAAAGATTCTTGTTGAAAAGAGGATGACTATAGGTCTTAAATCCTTGTTTAATTCACTTTTTGCTTACATGTGATATAACGTTCACTAAGAATTTGCAATGTATTCGCCTAGAGGACCTTTCTTTGCTTATGGAAACCTTAAAACATGGGTGTATGGTCCTATGACTATCTCCCAAAAGCTTTAGTGGGCAGAGTTAGCCGGAACCTGTGCTAGTGGGAGATAAGATGTCTGGTGGAATTAATAGAGGTGTGTGCAAGCGGGCCCAGACATGCATCATTAAAAATAGGGTATATGTGCCTCCTTTCTTCTGAATCTAGGTTCCCATTTTCTTTGCACACAAATATAAAGTCGTGTGTTGAAGTATTATTTGAACAGCTCATCACTGAACATCGGTGATATCTTGGCTATCCATAAAAAAGGATTTGTTCTATGGTGCAGCAATACTCTTTTGAAGGGATGTGTTTCTTGCTTATGCCCCCCACCTCATCCCCTGCGTAGAAAAAAAAACAGAAGGAATAAGACATATTTGAGAGTGCAGGGGATTACTTTTCTTGTTAGGACAGAGGAAAACTGAGGCGCAACCCGAGTTGAGACACAACTTATGACAGTTATTTGGAATGGAGGAACCAAGTTTGGCACTCAGCTGGTTTCTTCGCTGATTCAACCCTATGTCCTTCACTGTGTTGATGTTTTGAGACAGCTCCTGCAAATTTTCTGCTTGTCTTTAACTCTCTGATGTGATTTTTTTTTAAATTGTGAATCAGGTTTCACTTCAAGAGCTAGATAATGAAATGTCAAGAGAACTGATGGGTTTGCTTAAAAGACAGAGGGAGAGTGACAGATCATATTATCAGTTATGCCATCTTGTGAGGCAAGGTGAACAGCCTAGAGAAGGCTTCTTCTTGCTTGCAAATCTGATTGAGGATCCAGTTGGTGGTTCTATTGGTTACCAGGATTGGATTCTGCAAGTACACCGACAAGTCCAGCAAAATGCATAAAGGTAATGAAAAGGATTTACTGGTTGTTAATAGTTATAATTCTGTTATGCTTGTATTATTATTGACTTCATCTTTTGGGTGGTACCCAAGTGTTCCAAAAAGAGTGAAGGGTGAATCTTTATTATTGCATTATCTAAATGAAACTGAAACAGATGATGAAGAGATTGCCATCATGGTGATCACCTATGCATTTCTCCTCTCTGAACCTAAAATGATGAGTTTTAGTCTGCTTGCTGATTGAACACTCCCTATTTTAGCAGGGTTCCTGTATGTTCAATCATTTGTGGTCTTCTACTGTGTGGCGGTTCCTGAAGAAGTTGGAACTTGTTGCCACTTGCAACTATGGATGGTTCATCCAATGAGCAAAAGCTTCCATGGAAGAAATCTGCTGTTAGTGTTAATTGACACCATTGATTGCTGAGCTTACCTGATTTTCCTTGTAACATTAGTTGAAGAACTAATATTTCTCCTCATGTTGGGATCATTTCATACACCTGGACCAGCCATGCATTATGATGTGGGAGCAGGAAGATTGTGATCGTCCTTAAATGCTAGCATTACCCCGCTGCCCCATTTGCTTGGGGTGAACATGAAAAAAATGCTAATTGACTAGTATTTATTTTCACGTGTTGGTCTGGTTAGAGTGAGATGAGACATTAAATAGAACAATGTTGCAGTTATTTATATTCTTGATGTTGTGGGGATAGGGTATGCGTTTGAGTGGGATTTATTTAGACTTTTTGTAGAGATCTTGTACATGCATTTGCTTTGCATAACTGAATTTTTTTTGCTGCCCGTAATAAATTTTTGTTGAGCTGAAATGTAGTGCAGATGATGTAATCTCTCTTTTTCCTAGGTTTTTGCATTGGGATGGATTAATAACAGGGGTGTCTGCTTTTGTGCTGCTGATTTGATTTTGAGATTTTTGGTGTTGTAGTTATCCAATCTTAATCTGAACTAAAAATAATAATTGGTTGATTGGGGTTTCTGAGGTTTTTCTTCTTCTTCTCAGATTTGGCAGTTCGGTTTTTGGTTTTTCCTCTTCAGCATCCCCTCAGTTTTATAGCTGCCTTTTCATTTATTATACTCAACAAATATCTTGTGGTCGACAGCTATATTATTTGCCTCATGGCAACGTCAACTCAATTGCTTCTTTATTGTAATTCCGAAATGTAACTACAGAATATTAAGGGCTCATATGACCATGAAAATTATACTACTCATTTTTTTCGGATCAAACAATACAACATACTGCAACGTGAGTTACCGAGTTGGATTATAAGATTACTGATTTTCCAAGATTATATTTTTTAGTTCAGACGAAAAGTACCAAGAGAACCCAGCATCTCTTAAGAACACAACTAAGTGGGACCTCATATGGTCTCGTCTCCCATTGACGAACAAGTAGCTTAATTAATATGGACCATTCTGGGAGGAAAAAAAGACATATAACTAAAACTTGAAGAAAGTAATGAATAAGATATCTTCAAGAATCAGTACTTGAAGATTCCTCATTTAGATGGTCCAAAGTAGTGATCCTAAAAAATTATTACTTTTTCACTTTTAAAATGATAAAAGGAAAGGAATTCAGAGCTTTGTTCGAAGAAGCTAGGGCAACAACCTAAGTGGAGAAAACTTTACCAAGTCATTTACACCTCTATCAGTTCATAGCGTGCCAATTTGATACTCAATTTGTTGAATACAATCACTAGTAATAATTAAGCATCCCAAAGAAAAAACCTTGAACAACAGACTATGCTATCAGTACTAAAATTCTCAATCACTTTGATATAATACAAAGAGAGGCAGCCAATTGTGAGTTGAGACTCGCTCTCTGCTAGAGAAGTCGAGTGAACATTCCAATGAAGATAAACCTTCAGTAAGGGTAATGTAGCATGAAGGCAAAGTTCTACATCGTTGCAAAAACAAGCAGCATTTAAGATATTAAGTTGTACAAGAAACAGTCTGTCTAAATTTGATACAAAAAAAGGTTGTACATCAGCAACTGTTCTGAGTAGAAAACCATGATACGTATCTCTCTAACAGTCAAGAAATCTTGAAGGAATAATTTTACTAATATCACCTCAAAAATAATATAGAAGCATGTACAATATTTTAAGCTTTGCAAATGTCGCGCTGATCATGAGAACTACCTTCATGTAGCCATAGACGCCAAGTCTAATTCTTCATCAGAATCAATGCAATCTTCAAAATCATAATATGGATTCACCTGTGACAATAACTTAGTCAATGTTATTATTACATTAAACAGCCATGACAATGCAAGTAATTTCAAACAAATTACTCATTGTTTACAAAAGAACACCCCATGAATTTCAATTCAAGATAAGACAAAGCTTCAAACTGTTCTATACCTTGGGTCGGGGCATCACTGCTTCAAAACTACGATAAACGGGGATGTCAAAATTAGGAGGTTCCAAAATAATATATGCTCCTTTATTTCGGTACCTATCCTTAGTTGCCTGCAGTTAGGGCACAAACAGAAAGATAAGTTTCTCCATTTCATACTACAGCTTCCAGGTATAGAAATGGCGCTAAAGATGTTTCAAACTTTTTGCATGAGTGTATAAAAAATTGAACAAACATGATAAAACCTAATTTTGACGAGATGGCTACCTATTCTTACCATATTGAAAAGGATCCATCATTAGGAAAACCCTCTCGAAGCAATAGAACAAATTGATTCATTAAGTAGATTCAAAATGGTTTGACAATCCTAACTAGTGCAGTTTCAGGCCTCCATTGATTCATTTAAGTAGAGTATAACACATGACTAGAAATTGGCTTAATTCCCAAGCCGGAAAAACTGCTCCAGAAAGAAACTTCACGCATAAATTGAATCTATTTAGTAGAACCTTAGGCAAATAGTAATAATTGCAGCATATTCTTAATACCACTTGAAGGGACAAACAGACAATTGGCTGTGTAAACACCAAAATTTGCGCAAGGGCCAATTCCAGCAAGCTCAGCAGGTGTGTTACCGGAAAATTTGTTTATATTGACGAATGAAGCCCACAAACTACTTCCCGAAATAGGGAGAAAGTGACAGTTGACGATCAAGTCATGCAAGATTTTTACCTTGCAACGATCCGGTCAATTAACCAATTTCAACCTAGAGTAAATGAATGTTGGCTAAGCGTGAGAAAATGCTGATTAGGCAACATGCAAAACAAACAAAAAAAGTAGACCACTCCGACCATGAAAGATACTTTTTCACCTAATATACCATGAAAGATAGAACTACTGAAGAGTGAAGTTCTTTATGCATCTTTGTAAGTATTGGTTGCCAAAATACAAAAATTCCTAAACTCATTTCTCTACATCTGGCTGATGCAATCATTGAAAGCACACAGGCCACTACAATAGAAGATAAATGCTCCTAATATACCATTAATACGTTGTTTCAAAATATACATATATATATATATATATATATCCCATTAGTATGCTCATTGGGCACATATTTCAGGAAAAGAAATTCTGAATCAACAGATGCATTACATAGTTTCTATCAAAAGTAACATTGTGCAACTTTAAAGACGCACTACACTTCTACAGACATCTGAAAGTAAACACACCAGCGGTTTTCATAAAGGAAAGTTGAACTGCATACTCAAGTATAACACAAACTACAAACTCTGACCATGGACGATGTAAGGTGAAAAAGTATGATATAGTGAATGGTAAAATTGAAGATACCTGAAACTGTGGATAGTCTGGGGCACTAAACACTGTAATCAATTTACCGGACTGGACCTCATGATCTATGGTGTACCCTTGATCCATTCCTTCCATTCCCTCTCTCTTTTCCCTTGCATCTGGACCTTCATGTGACCTAATAATCAACTGAGGTTGCAGCAATCAAAGACCATAACGTGAGCAATTTTCTCACATATAGAAGTCACAAAAGAAGATGTCAAGCTCACAGAAAATACAAGAACCTAAAATTACATGAATAATGTAAACATAAATAGTATAGGTGCAAAATAAGAGTAGTCCTGAACAGGCAAATATTACGTGAGAGGCCTTCGTCACGTAAAAGTATCTTCATCCTTTGTGCTTCTTCACTTCTTTGTGGGTCTTTAAGTGGTTAAATGCTTCGTTCACAGATACTTGGAATTAAGATCTCATACAACATTTTTCTTTCCTTTTTCCAATGAAATGATTGGGCTTCAAAACAAGTAAATTCATCTCCAAAGGTTCATCGGTAATCTCTAGGAAATATTCTGATTTCCCAGCTACACTGGATCCGCTATGTCAGAAAAAGGAAAGAATTTCAGATATTAATGGCACTACTATCATAGCGTACTAGTTTTTAAGGCAACAACCAGATCATTTTCTTACTTAAATGAGTACAGGTAGTAGCATGATTTTCTTAGACACCCAGTATAGTTATGTCTACACTCATGCGTTTGAAATTGGTTAATATTACTAGTATTGCATTGCAACTGGATATAAAACCAATGCTCTACTCAAGAAAAACATGTTACAACCAGCCTCCTTCAGGTGAATAAATATGAAAAGACCCTTTTTTTCACAAATGAAAAGACTTGTTTATTGACATTGAAAAGAGGTGCATCAACTCTTTGTATGTCCATCTTATTGACTACTAAATCAAATTGATGAACCAAGTCAATGATGGAACCAGACGAAAGGAAAGTGCAATGAGAGCCTTTCAGTCCACTAAATAGGAGTGCACCATATTTTAAAAAATAGTACAGCCTTGTCCATTATCTCTGCATAGGTAAGTCAAACACGTCACACGTGTAATAAATCTTATTCGATCTTTGAAGTTGCTTTGATTAGTTATGTTTATCTTCTAGTGGACTCAAATTATGCAGATAATTAATTAGTTTCATCTGAAAGAAGATTGGATCATTTCCCTAGCAGCCTTGCCTGATAGAATAGTTTCAATGTTCATCCTCAAGGAGGAAATGTTGATGAGGTGAACACAGAACTCCATGAGTATACAGATAAGGCAACAACCCAATATTTGAACTGTCATGTGACAAGAATATTGATGGATTTAAATATCAAGTGATGTCATTAATGGAAAACCATGTATTTTTGCAAGGTTCTCTGCTTTTTGGCATTTCATGTATAAGGGGTTTGCCCTTTTCTTAAGGAATTTTCTTACTTTATCTCCAAAATATTACAAGTTACAGCAAAGGTATAACTGAATTGTTATGACTACGGTAAAATACATAAAAATAAAAGTATATCCTAGTGAAAATTTGTACAAAAAAGAGAGAGAAATATGAGTAACTTCAACTTGTGAGTCCCATCCTATCTTAATTGCTTATATGGATATATGACTCAAACTGCAGGAACTATGGTTCTAGCACAAAGGTTGGTTAACAATTGGTTCCCGAAAAAATGAGAGAGAGTGAAGGAAGATAAAGTAGTTGGTTTGCCTTGGGTCAGATATTAATTAGTTTGCACCTAGTTGACTAATAGGGTTGGTAAAGTTGGAAAATGAGTAAAATTGAGGGGGGGGACACTCCACCTCTTCTTTAACTTCCTTGTATAGACGAGAGTAACAACCCTTATTCTTCCTCAAACCCCTCTTCTTACACCTCAATCAAACATAGTTTAAAATAGAGCTATTGAAATCGAATCCAAGAACTACAAATTCAAAGATTATATTTTGACAAACAGTACAACCCACTTAATGGAAGCTATTGAAGTTTAATACAAAAACTACAAAGTCAAAGATTATATTCTGAATAATATTACGTCCAATCACATCATTCGCACCATAAAACCGTGCGAACAAGACATAATATATTGTAGAATTTCATTCAAAAATAAATGATAAAAAAATGTACTTTAAGCTCTGTTAAAAGACAACTTCAAAGTAATTTAGCAGTAGGCTATATCAATAACAAGAAGAAAAGAGCATATACAAAGAAAGAAATACAATTCCAAGTAGTTTACCTTTAAATTCAACATCTTCAAGAAATCTTCGGTGCAATCCGGACCCCATAAGAGACCAATTCCTCTTTCTTTATTTGGGGAAAGTCCAGGTTTCATTGACGGGTCTGACCACAAGACATCACCCGGTATCAGATTCGTACCTTCCCAAGGAGGATCAAGGACAGATCTCCTAGCTTTTAATAATTCCTCCATAGAACCAAGAGATAAAGTAGTAACATCAGGGTTTGAAACTATTTTACGGTTCTTCTTCCCTTTAGCTCTTTTAGCTGGAGTGACAGCAATACTGCGGAAAATACCTCCATGAGCTGTGTAGACATGATCCCCAATAATGGATGCAAGAGGAAGTCCTTCGAAGCATCCTAAACATTTCCTGTATACATGTTTCCCACTATCCGCATACTTCGCTAGAACCTCCTTTTCAAAACCATAAACAGAAGTACAGTACTTCGACTCGTGATTTCCACGAAGGAGAAACACCCTATTGGGCATAAAAACCTGAAAGAATGTACAGTTTGATTGAATATTGAATATCCACAGTTGCATCTGACTGATATAAGCTAGAAAGTCAATTACATGAACCAGTTGAGTTCAAAAGTTACAACACAAATCAAATATCAAGTTGAAGTAAGGTGCTTCTAGCTCACTGTTACTTGATGCATATTATCCTATCCCAGCTAAACAAGGCACAGGAATGAACCAATATTACCAAGGAAACATCATAATTGATACAAAACTCAAAGGAAGATGAAGGATAATAAAGCTTAACCAAAACTGAATTTGCCTGTTCTACAGATTACCATGATACAAAACCTGGTACTTTAAAGTTAAGCATCACCGTCCCATTTTGTTGTTGTACAACCTCCAGATGTTAAATGACGTTGCCAATGACAAAGTAACAAACTATCTCTATAGGAAGAATACCTCGTCAAGCTTTACAAAGCCCTAATTCTCCATGCTAAGTGACCACATAAAACTGATAATTATGATCAACAATTACATTTGCTGACATAAATTCCATACATAAACACAGTAAAGTTGTTATCTTATCACCAGACACAACTTGTGATATGTAGTAAAAGTAAGATAATCAACTAAGTAACAACATAATTGATACTAAACACTACCAAACGGGAATTTCAAACTACATTACCTAAATATTTCATAAAAACAGTTCAAAATTTTCATTACAGGAAACAAAGAATTCAAAATTTGTTAAAAAGATTTTACCTTCCAAGCCAACAAGGTAAGAAAGGTCTCAAGACCCCAAGCGCCTCTATCGACATAGTCTCCATTGAACACAAAGAACCGATCGTCAGAGGGAAAACCCGCATCTCTCAATAAGAACAAGACATCATGTAGCTGGCCGTGCACGTCCCCAACCACAACAACCCTCGAATCATTTCCCAACCCCGACCCGCTATCAATATGCACACAATTGGGTTCTTTATGCAAGATCTTGGAAGCCGTTAGTATAAGCCGATCAAACACCACTACCGGCAACACCGATGGCAGCTCCGTCGGAGCAAGATTCTTGGATGACCAATCAAATGCTAGCATCAAGTTGGTAACCCAAGCTAGGGTTAAGGTCCCGTCTTCAGGCCATGAAATTGGGATCTCTGGATGAAGCTGTGGTGGTGAAGGAATCGGGGTGGATGGCGATGACGTGGAAGACGTCGATGCCACTGATACAGACGAGAAGAAGTCCTCATCGGACGACGGCGGCGGAGGGGTTGCTGATGGTAAACTGGCGGCTGCAGCCGGTGGTTCTGATTCTGATAACATTTCAACTGGATGCGCGATTTTCGTTAATTTTCTCTAATTTTTTTATTTTATTTTTCAGTTGATAGAATAACTGAGACAAGAATTTAAGAGAAAAAAGAAGTTATTGTTGACAGAGTATGTTCATGGGGGCAATGAGAGATAAAAGCCAAAATAAATTAATATTATATTGGTGCTGTGTCATTGACAGCTCAGTTCACTGCTGGTCAGCTTTAGTTCGTTTGGATATAAATTGGTCAAAACTTATGAGATTGTCAAAATATTGTATCTATTTAGAGAGAGTGATTCAAATTAAAGAATTTTTTTATATCTAAAAGTTCGAGACTTTGAAATATAAGAAAATTATATATAAACTTTATGTAAGATTAATATTTGTTTGGTATTTTATTATATAATTAATATATGGCAAAATAAATTTTACGTTTTTTCAATTGCGTATAAAAGTGCTAACACTTAAAAAGAGAAAAAGAATAGTATATTTTTTATCTCCAATGTGGAACCTTTTTGACAAACGGAAGAAAAAAATATTTGAAGACATGTTTCTTTGGAAATTTTTATTTATAGGAGAGTGGTTTGAACCCACAACAATATTGCCGTGAAAAAAAAAATTCACTATCCTTTCTTACCACTAAGATGATGTCAATCACTTTTATTAGGGATTCACAAGTTATTATATATGTATATTTATTTAATTTTTAATGCAATACAGAATCTATGAAAAAATTAATGGGTCCATTCGAATTGACAAACCTTTACCTGCTTCTGGTGGTGAATTTAGAGGCAAAAAATACGATAGTGGAACCCGAGATCTTTTTCGTAAAACTAGATATTATAGGCATATATTTACTAAAATTTATATAATATTATATTTTAGTGAGGATCAATTTTCAATTAACTCCTCCCTGTCTCAATTCTGATTGATTAGCTTCTTCCTTCGCGCAAGCTACGATCTAACAACCCCCTTGTTGTGTTGCATTTTGTGATCTTCCGCTTCAGTCTGCGTTTTTCGGATAGCCGGGGGATCCTCGGTAGTGGTGACCCTTTCACTCTTCCACGGACTGATACATGTACCGAATGCTCATACGGGAAAGTTGACTCCTGGGTCTGGAGCCACTTCTGATGATGCATGCATTGGGGACAAGTATATGTCAGTTCCGTAGATCAAGGCTTTCAAGGACTCCTGAGTTGGTGATTTGTCACCAGGCAGCACATTACACATTAGCAGATGAATACATTCTTTTTGGTGTATCCATGTTCAGATCAGTTCCCACTTAATACATTTTCTTTGATGCACCATAATCAAAAAAATTCGAAATACACCTCTGTATGCTTCACCTATGTTTCTGGACACCAAACCTCGGGTTCGGAGCGGACCCACGTGAATTTCAGGGGGGTCACCCGAACCACCTCGGAAAAATACATTGTATATAATAGTACAATGGTAAGTGCTACGTAAATTAAGTTTCATGTCACCAATTTGAATCCCTATTTTTTAATTTTAGTTTTGTTTTTCAAGTTTTTTACTTACTAATATGTTTATACTTTTTTTTCGAATCTTAGAACAAAAATCTTCTGTCCCCACTATTCGGGTGGGATAGTGTTCCATATATGAGAAAGGAGAAATTATTTACAAAGAATATCTTTTAAACCTCTGATATTTATTTTTCCATTTATTACGATTAATTTCTTTTCTATTATAATTTTATCGTTGTCTGTATGCTAAATGTCTTTTTTTTTATATATATACTTTTTCCACATTGGTTTTTGTTGGTATAGTTATTTGCTATTAAAATGATATGATTAAATTTATCTACATGACTCAAGAATATGTAGATTAATATGATTAAAATACGTGATTACTTACTCTTAGCTTTCTGACAATAATAATACAACAAAATGAAATAACAAATGCATAATCACTTAAACCAAAAAAAAAATGCATAATCGAATTGAAATAATAAAACACACAAGTAAATAAAATAAACTTGGATTTCTATGCTAATAGTTGATGATTGCGTTACTGAATAAGCTTGATATAATTATCCTTTAAAATATAAACAACTTAATATCAAAAAATATGAGTACAATACTAGTGAATCAATGAAAATGAGATGTCTTTCAACAAATGTATAGAAGGTTAACTAATTAAATCCTATGAAGTGTCATTTATAGATTTCAGCAGAGTATTATTGTAGTAATCAAATATTTGGTACCTAATATTATCAATATTGTATTTTGTCACACATCCTATATGGATAACAATTAATTAAACAAAGCACTTGATATTTTATAAGTTCTCTTAGTAATTAATGGGGACCTAAATCTTGAAAGATTTGCAAATAATAATGGACCAAAATTGTAAGCATTAGCCATGGCCCATGGACACAAAAATCTCAAAATTAAAGGAAAACTTACCGAAATTTCATAAGTTTAAGAGTTAAGTACTATATATTCTAGATTGCAATATTATGAATTTTATCAGATTTTGATGTATCTAGATACATCTAGATTAATGTATCACGAGATACATAATGTAAATATTTAGTGTAATTTATTTTAGATGAATTGTAATAAATGGATTTGTAATGTATATGTGATACACAGATAAATCTCGCTTGCCTTCTTCTCATCTCGTTCGCCACTATCCTATGTATTTGCATGTATCTGAGATACATGACTATCTAAACTTGTCTTTCTTCCAATCTCGCTCATCTCTTTCCTTACTTTAGTGTATTTAATAGAAAAAATACATGTATTTATATCTATCTTCCTCAATATATGATAGAAATTCTTAATTAATTGTAAGATACGTTATTATTTGACACTATACGTAGAATTAGTATATATATCATGAATATATGTCTAATATGAAATTTGGGTATTGAAGCCATGGCAGAATTGGGCCGGTCCAATAGATTGTCCTTCATAGCTTAATGCTGCCTTCAACTGTTAGGCCCACTAGATTTCAACCCAAACTGCAAAAATGAGAAAATAAATTGAAATTCATTTTTTCACTAAATTATATTTAATTTTATATTATATTTTATATATTTATTAAATATCATATCTATGATAAGTCAGTATGATTGGATGTGAAGTTTTTTAACCAAATGCAAAAGGCTAACTTAATGTTAATTGACATGTCAGTCAATATCAATAAAGGGGTCCCTCTTGCCTAATTGTGTTAGTTCTTTAATGGACAATAATAAATAAATCAAAACATGACACGTCCTGTTCTAATTTGTTAACTTCAAAATCCACTTAAAATAAAAATTAAAGTGAATGGAGTTAACTATTTTGCCACTAAAAGTATCGAATTACATTTATTGAAACTTGATTAGGACTTAAATAATGACAAATTATCTGACATGTGAGTCCAAATTTCAAACATTAGACAAGGACTTCAAATCAATCTCCAAATTGCTTATATAGTATTAGAGTAACCAAACATTGGACAATGATTTCTATGCTACTAATCCTTGTCCCCTCATTAATATCTCGAACAGTAATAGCTTTCGTTTCGCCATAAGTTTTAGGAGAAAAATTGAAATTTTATTTTTTCTAATGAAGGTCCCCCAAAATTAAAAACTGATATAAGTCAATTTATGGGAACATAAAAGTATTGGAAAATCTAATCAAATTTATACGTTTTTTTTTATTATCATTTTATTGTCATGTTTTAAAGTCAATAAGAAAAAATGAAGTATTTGTGAAACATTGCCCACTGCATTAATTATTCTAAAACTAAAAGGCACGTAAATTTTGTAAAATAATTTATTAAAAATAGATTAATGTGATGAAAAAGGATAAATTAATAAAAAATGACGTGTAAAAGCTTATCCTGAAAGAGAAAATAATACTATATGAATAGAGGAAATATTTACGTGGAAATGAAAATAAATCTATCGAAGTGCATTGTATGTACAATTAATTAGTTAAAACTACTGTATTTCTATTTTTATTTTTTATTTTTTTTGTCCTTATGTTAACACGAGAACTATAAAGGATTTAGTCGCAACTTCTACCAATATGAGATTCTTCCACCCTCAAAGGTTTGATATTTTTGAAATAAAAAATCATGTTGAAAGTGTGAATTTTAATTTTGTCAAATTATAATATAAATATTATATCAAAAATTAGAAAAAAAAAAGATATCAGTAATAACTGATTTTATCACGGGGTACAGTTCATGATGTTTACTATCGACCCTCATACAGTAACTATACTAGCTCTATCAGATCTTTTGTTCGTTAGTTTCATAAAAAAAAAGTTAGCTATATAATTGTAAAATATTCCCTGCATCCCATTTTATATGGGACTATTTCACTCGGCACGAAGTTAAAGAAATAAATAAAAATTTTGAATTGTTTACTAAATTGTTCTTCAAAAGTAGACTCATTTTTCTCTTTCTTCATAAATATATTAAAATATTATTTAAAATTAAGTGAAACCTGTTGTTCATCTTGTATTCTAAACATATTTAGAACAAAACTTTGAACATCTTTGTAAGAAAACAAAGTTTAAGAACATTTTCACAACTAGAAAATTTAAAAAAATATACGAAATATTTTTCTTAAAGAAGAATTGTTGTTAATATGTGTCTAAAGAATCTTATTGATTCTAACAAATTTTGCAGAAACACGAATTTATCAAGTTTAATGAACCAGTGAAGAACAAAAGAATAGAAGAACTGAAATTAATTCACAAATCTAAAGTTTGTAAAACACGTACCAGAATCTGGACAATTTTTAATAGGAAAAAGATCAAGTCCACTGAATTCACAGTGTCCCCTTAAGGAAATTATTTCTCTCTAGTATCCGAGGTTTGATTTGGAATATGACCTCCTAGGGTAAAATGATCTCAACCACTAGAGTATAGATACCAAAAACTCTGGTGTCAGCGAACCACTTAAGGGCAGTAAAATACACTTAGAATACTGGATTTAGTAGTTGAAGAAGAAGTCCATAAGTTCTATTTAAAATGAGAGAAAATTTCTCAGTTTATAGAAAACAAAGGATAGTGCAAAAAGGTTCTTATTGTGCCTTACCGGAAAGGTTACAAACCTTTGGAAAAGTCACAATCTTTCAGAAAGGTCGTCACCTTTCATAAAAGTCACAACTTTCCATAAAAGTCACAACTTT